GCACGTCTGATGAATAATCTAGGAGAATAAATTAGTAGTATTAGTGCCACATACCGTTTACAACCTATATAAACGTAGGTCCAGTGTGGTCGAGTAAGAGAGAACACGAACACGAGACAAAGGTGAACGCAGCTAACTTTTACAGCAGGTGCATTTACTGTTTTGTTAGAAGAAAGGCACTTGGGAATAAAACCCTTGTGAAATTAACAAGTTTTTTTGTACTTCAGTAGGTCTGATTCCACACGATTAAACATTCAAAACTGACATGTGGTTTGAAGTTGGTTTCAGAGGGATGCTGAAAAGTGTGTCTTGTTACTTAAGCTGGAACAGGGCAAAGTTTATATTCTATTTAACTCAAGAAAACAGCTGTTGAGCAATACTTGTCGTGGAATACATAACTACCGAGATAGAAAGAAACAAATAGTACAATGAATGATTAGTTTTAAAAAGGTAGAAAGCTTTCAAAGCAAATATATGGGCATGGATCAAATGTAGCTGTTTCCTCGATAGTAGGTCACCCACTACCAGGAGAGCCATTAATTATGTCGCAACAGCTATACTAACATGCACTAAAAGGTGGTCGATCTCTCCAGCTACCTGGTTACTATATACTCTATGAACTCAATACGCTATGAAAAACATGCATGCATGAACGTTATCGATTAGAACATTCATCTGGACAAAAAACAAACAAACGGCAAAAAATATTCAATCAACGAAGGAGCAGATAAAGGACTCCTGAAAGGGAAGGGGCCCATAAATCACTTCTAGGGATATCCGAGAATACCCCCCTCCCCACGAGAAATAGGTGATATAAAATGTTTTTAGGTCATTTTTTATCCTTTGTCGTATATTTATGGTTACATATTTTTTGCCTACTCGCTGTGTGTGGTGTAAAACTGATAGTGTAGTTGCTACAAAAAGATAAGCCTAAATTTTAAGTAAATTATTTCCCCCGTCATTGCAGTTAATTAGGATACAATTAACATCATATTAAGGATACGTGTTGTTATTCACTATCATATAATAGAAACCTAAGAATAAGCTGTAAAGTTATCTAATTCGTTTTTTTTTTCATTAAATTAACGTTTTAACGAGGATGAGGTGCAGTGCAACATGTATGTAATGGAGTCGCTCGCCATCTATAAAAACTACAGAATCCTATTAGAGGATTAAACTTCATCATTAGCTGTCTCCTCAATTTTTTATTAATGTTTTAACATTTTTGGGGCGCCTAAACATGTCGAAAGGGCAGAATCCCCCCACACCCTCATGAATCCGTCCCTTGAACTATACATTTCAGACCACCATTTTTCTCGTATTATGTTCACCTTGTACTTACTTCATTTCTGAAGATACGCGTACAAGTTAAAACTGACCGATTCCATTAGGATTAGAAGATGGTTCTTGTTCCTACTGACAAAACAAATACTTCTACGGTTTCTTATGGAAAAAATAAAAACTCGAAGTCATTTTTAAGAAACGACGTAACTATACACAAAACGTTCAAACTAAAGTTACCAATCCATTAGTAGTAAGGAAATCAACTTCATACAAATTACTGAGAATTTATAATAACTGTGTGTAATCATGCTGTGACAACGTCCTAAATCAATTTTATGGCTACGAAATGAAAAATAAATGTTTCAAGATAACACATAAAATGGATGTCAGTTTGAAAATATAAATATCCCCGAGGCTCATTCTTGGCTAGACCTACCTGTGACATGGGTATTAAAACTGTTTTTTACATAGATTTGTTTAACGAGATTAGATATATATGTGAAACAAAAATCGATGACAAATTTGCCATGCATATTTAAAAGTGCACAGAAATGTTTTAAATGTTTAAACTTACCAAACTGGTTATTAAATTTGCTAAGTAAGACGTCAGTAATGATGTGGTGCAAGAGTTTCGGTAGTAGAATAAAATGTATGTTTAAAAAAATTAGAACTTATGTTTGAGAATCAACTAAAGATTACCTCATTAACTGACTTGTTTTTAGAGTTGACAGAAAGCTAAATTTTACATTGGAGAATCAATTAGTTTTGTGTAGCAATCCTGTTGTGTCCCTTTACAATTAGTTGCAGTAATTATGTGTTCGGAAATAAGAAAATTGAACACTGCATAATCTTATACACATATAAACATATAATTTAAGAACAACAAGGTACCTTGATCCATCTAGGCCATTACATCCACTAAATTAACTTTAAAATGAAAAACAAAAACCTCAAAGCCAGCCCGTACCATTCAAATATTTATCAAGCCTTTGCTCAAACTCTGTTAATTATACTAACTGCATCGAACATATCCGAAAGGGGCCCGGCATGGCCAGGTGGTTAGGGAGCTCGACTCGCAATCTGAGGGTCGCGGGTTCGAATCCCCGTCCCACCAAACATGCTCGCCCTTTCAGCCGTGGGGGCGTTATAATGTGACGGTCGTTGGTAAAAGAGTAGCCCAAGAGTTGGCGGTGGGTGGTGATGACTAGCTGCCTTCCCTCAAGTCTTACACTGCTAAATTAGGGACGGCTAGCGTAGATAGCCCTCGTGTAGCTTTGCGCGAAATTAAAAAAACAAAAAACAAACACATTTGAAGGCAACTTATTTTAAAGACAACTACCCTGTTAAAAAATACGCCTTAGTTGAAGACTAAGCCAAAATTTGTATTTATGTCCCCTATTCTCACTATTAAGTACGAAGAAAAGATGATGCATGAATACTACGAAGTCCCTTAAGAATATTAAACTCCTCAGTTAAATCCCCTCTAACTGTTCTTTTTTCAAGAAAAAGCAGTTTCAGGTATCTTAACCTTTCCTAGCACGACAACCTTTCCATTCCGGGTATCATCCTACTAACTCTTTCCAACAATTCAATCCTCGTCCTAAGGTAAGGAGCTCAAGAGTAAACGCAATATTTCAATGATGCTATATGTTGTAATACAGCACATGGAATGACTTCTTGAGCTTGTATCTAATGAGTTCTGCAGACTTCTGATAGCGCACATGACTTAAAAGTATAAGGGACTGAACCACTTTAAACATCCGTGTTGACCTCGCCTCCCGACAGTCGGCGCTTCTCAGTTTTTAAGCATTAATCAGATAATATAATTAAAATATTGCATATAATGTTGTTCTCCCCTCTTGTGTGTGTTTTTAACATTAACTGTATTTGAGATGAATGTGACCTAATTTTGTCGGCACTTGCGTACATTTACCTAGCTGTTTTAGTGAATGGATATGAATAAAAAAGGAAGCTTTGGAGGGCGTGTAAATTACGGCCTTAAGAGTCCTGGTATTGGGCGAAAGGCTTCATCGGCACCAGATACAGAAGATATAGTGTGGTCGACATACTTTTTTACTTTCACTCAGAAGGTCTTACGTACGTTCACGCCCTGAATGGATTTAAATTTTAGCTCCAAATGAAATAATGTTTGAGGAAATAAACATATGCATCTTATATTAACTTTGTTTTAAAGTTTGAGAGCAGGTTAAAAACATGTGATCGTTTTTTGCTTTTTTCAAGTAAATTATGTGACCAGATAATTTGCAATACACAAAATATTGAACTAATGAAAAAAATCTGTGCTGTCAAGAAGTTTAAAGAAACTGACTAGGATAACTAATAAAATTTTTTTAAACAACTGAAATCCATGGAAATCAAATAAAAGTAATTTATTCACAAGAAAAAGAAAAAAAAGAGAATAAGTTTTATTAAAAATCATGAAATGGAGAAGCAGTATAATCTATTTTTATAAAGTTAGTTTTTCGCAAATTTACACCATTCATGTAATTCTAACTTTTAGACTGTTGCTTCATATTAAGTCATATTTAAAAAACCGATTAATTGGCCATTTTGATTTAACTGTTCAAACTTTTTACTCAAAAAAAAAGATTACAAAGCTAAAAAAGTTATTAGAGAATAATACTTGATGGAGTGTGAAGTTTCGCCTTTTAAGGGTTTCGCTCTTTATCAACCATTTCTTTTTTGAAATTATTTGAAAGTTGGATTTATTTTGAACTGGCCGTGATTCGCTGAAGGAGTCAATAAAATCGACTGAAACAACAACGAGAGGTGTAAACGAAAACATATATTTATATGTATTTAAAAATCAAAATCTAAGCTGAAAAATGATATTGGAAATGCAAACACGAAACGAATCTTCAACCCTTACAGATATGTATATATTTACCTAGACGTTACCTGGCTAAGTGATATATATGTTAGGAAAATCCATAATTCATATCCGTACTACCTGTACAATACCGAGTGATAAGATTGATCAGAATGTTATATTTTGAAAATTCTCTAAGTAACACTCGAATTTCACATATGATTTAATCTAGTAGCATGCACAATTTTTTAATATAAACCATTTTTTTCTATAAATTTGTAATTATTTTTAAAATATGTCATAGGATGGGAAAGACATCAGAAATTATTCATGAGAATGAAACCACAAACCCCAGAAATATTAAATGCATTAAAGCCTAAAACAGTGGTTCTTAACCTTTTTTACTCCATGCCCTACCTCGACACCTCAAAACTTTTGATGCCCCCTTAATATAAAAACGAATTTGGTGTTGAAAATGTATAATAATATAATGTAAAATTTAGAAATTTACCAAAATTTCACACCCAAATGAAAATTTTTTCTTATTGTAGCATTTTCAAATTGCCCCCCTGTGGGACGTGCGCCCCACGTTCAGAATCACTGACCTAAAACGTATGTGGTACTAGTGTTTTACTGGTGGTCTGGTTATAGTTTTAATAACATTAAGACGCCTTTTGCGCACATAGCCCTCGTGTAGCTTTGCGCGAAATTCAAAACAAAGAAACAAACAATACGCCTTTTAAAACACAATCGATATCTAGAAACAGTTTTATGAGACGAAACAATTTAGACATTAATTGTGCTGAAGAAATCACAAATGATGATTTCTAAATTATCTATTGCTTAATTAATTCATATTTACTCTGTTTTTGTACATATAGGAGACATGGGCTGCGGATCAAGTAAAAATTCTCGAGTTGTGTCACCTTTTAGTAAGGCTCTGGTGCTGCCACATCTGGCATGGGCAGGAAATAAATCAAGTCTAAAACCTATTATGTTAAAGAAAAGGCCCGAAGGGCTGCTTGTTGATCTTGGCATTCAAGTTGAACAAGTTTTTGAACTTGTTGATACTATGACTCAAACAGATATTGCTTTGTACCCGGATGAAGAGTTCGAAGACTTATGTTTGGGAGACTCCCAAGAGCCTAATATATCTGACGTTGAAACGCAGACTTCAGTTGGCACGCCACCTGGCAGCGAAACTGTGAAAAGTGTAAAAGTACAAACTGATTGTCAAAAGACAAATTCAAAACGAAACCGTTCGGACAGGAATTCTCAAACAGAAAGCAAGATATCAATTGATATTGGTGTACAAGCAGTTACCTCCAAAATGAGTCATTTTACTCAAACTGACCGCCAGCCATCTTCGAGACTGGGCAGTGTGCAGTCCAGCGGAATGGGCTCGACACATACCTCTGGCCGTAAGACTGCCATGTCCATCAGACCAAATACTTTAACTAAAGCGGACTTCGAGCCTCAAACATACTGCGTTTCACAAGCTTTACCAGAAAATACTGATAATGACACCAAGGTGTTATATACTGTGGACATGACGTCACCTTTCGCTCACATAGAAAGAGAGCTAAACGCTTCTTTTTCAGCTTCCAGAAATCACCGTACCAGAAAAGGAAATATTCATGAAAGTATTGCAAGACTACTGGAAGATGTGGAGGACACTTTTCGATACGATTCAAACTTAGTAACGAAACTTGGCTACAAGTGTACAAAAAAGACAGAGGCGGCTGTTCAAACAGACAATGACCCAATCACAGATGAAGCCCCTGAGTTTGCTGCTCGTCCACCACCTTGTAAGAAAAAGGAGATGATCCCTAATCCTGCAATATTTCGAGAGATGGACCAATATGCATTGCAGGTATGATTTAATAAGTTATAGCGTCTTAAAAGTGTGAACGTGATAGCTGTCATTTTCAAAACACACATCTGTAACTTTTGATAATTTATTTACAAAAGTCAATTTAGTATATATAGTTTATAAGAGATAAGTACGTATCTTCTATCTTTAATCAACCCCCCCCCCTACCTATATATATATATATATATTGTATAAATGTGTGGGTGTCTAAAATACATTTTGAATTGATATATGCAAATAAATATATATATAAACCTGTCCGAACACATCTGTAAACTGTTTTGCATTTTATCTTAAGTACAAAAAATAAAGCCGCCAGAAATATCAAATCACAATGGAACAACTACAACAACGTTTTGCTAGAAGTATAAAGTTTGATTGTTAACTTTTCTTTTTTTGGTGCAATACGTTTTGGCCTACTGGTAGTTTTATCTATCGCTAATACCTATGTGAACGTTTTATACATTTGGGTGATTGTCATGTTCATTATTTGCTATGGATAATAGGTGAATATTAGGAAAATAATATGAAAAAACCCAATCAAATTAAACTCCTATTCTGTGGTACAATGTAAATGTTCAAGGTAAATATACTGGATCACTGAAACACGCACCCTAGTGAATCAATAAAATTAAAGTAGGTAACAATCAAGCTCATTACCCACACAAAAAATCCAGTTGAATTTAAAATAAGCTCCTAACCTTAATAAACGACAAACTTACCTGTAGACTTTGAGAGGTAACCATGGTCAACTTACATGCAAATGTTGGCTTGCTGCCATTTGCACATCGATTTTGTGTTCTTCAAAAATCGTTAGTGGAGGACAATGACAATGTTGTGACAATAATCACTCGTAAGATATCATATTAAGTCCTTGTAAACGGTTTTTGTACTTTTATACTTATATTTAAGATTAAGCTAATGAACTGAAAGAACCACTTTTTTTATGCTAAGCTTTTTAAAAAAAATTCAAGAGGTTAAAATTATTGAGAAATTTAAGTGTAAGTGTAAATTTTCGGTTACTTTTTAGAAACTTTTTATTAAAATTTATTTATTGTCATCTCTCAGTTTACTTTCGTTTATATTTTATTGGTTGTATTTTAAAGCTACTTGATTTTAATTTAATCTAGTTATTTTACAGATTTTGTTTTTTTAGGGGGTAAAGGGGGTTCTAAGAGCAGTTAAAGCTCTCGAAAAGAAATAAAAAGTAAAAGGTACATTTTACCATATTTTATCCAATTATTTTCTGTACTAATTTCCCTCGGATTTTAAGTCATTTGAATTAAAGTTTCCAAAGTAGTGCTACAAAGAGGGTACATGTGCAGAATTTGATCAAACGATTAATTACTAATTGGAACACTCACACTTTTATTAGGTTTAAACCTGGTATAACGGAAAATCGAATTGATGCGTAGTTTCATTTTTTCTTGTTATTCTTGTAATTAAATAGTTTTGACCAAACATATAACATTCATTTCGCTGTTAAAATATTTTATGTTATACAAGAATATCTGAGACATAGAATGACAAGGTTTGACTCATATAGGAGAAAGCCTGTTATTGTACTGGGGTCGAGAAGTAACAAAAAGAATTTTCCATCTAGCTCCCTTGAGCTGGTGATACTTGCGATACTGAACTACGTCACGTTATGTAGAAACTTGTAAGAAGTACCTTAACGTTATAAAGTGGTCGTTTCAGCGAGTCCTTACATCAGTAATCCGTTCACTATCGATGGGGTTCACATATTACATCATATTGGGAAATTGTATCTTTATACTTGGTACGCTGATCAGTGCAAAGAACTGATTCAAAAAATGAAAAGCGGGAATCTTTCATTTTTCATGGAATATTTCCAGTGGAAATTAGTGGTGGTTATATGTTATTAGGAACTCAACTCACGAGCAATTTCAGGCATAAATGAATAGTTTAAAAGAGTTGATGAGTAACTCTGTTGTTAAGTTTGTTTGTTGTTAAGCTCACATCTACATAATGGGCTACCTGATTTTTTTGTTTAACCACCTCTGGTATCGAAACCTGATTTTTAGTATTATAAGCCCACAGACTTGTTACTGAACCACAAGGAAGGGGAGGGGGGGGCGTCGATAAGAGACAGATGTTTGTATTTATAATATTATAGTTATTGAATTATAAAACTTGAAAATGTTCGGTGTTTTCAAAACGTATTTGAGGGAACAGAAGCTGCTTTAAAGTCAGACGTGGTAAAGTTCCGTTAAATATAGAAGTTGCTTTAGCACTTGCTGTGGCAAGGTTCTGTTAAATACATAAGTTGCTTTAACACTTGACGTGGTAAAGTTCCGTTAAATACATAGTTGCTTTAACACTTGACGTGGTAAAGTTCCGTTAAATACATACGTTGCTTTTAACACTTGACGTGGTAAAGTTTCCGTTAAATACGGAAGCTGCTTTAACACTACACGTGGTAAAGTTCCGTTAAATACATACGTTGCTTTAACACTTGACATGGTAAAGTTCCGTTAAATACATACGTTGCTTTAACACTTGACGTGGTAAAGTTCCGTTAAATACATACGTTGCTTTAACACTTGACATGGTAAAGTTCCGTTAAATACATCAGTTGCTTTAACACTTGACGTTAAAAAAAATCCATATTTAACGGCATTTTACCACGTGTAGTGTTAAAACAACTTATGTATTTAACGGAACTTTACCATGTCAAGTGTTAAAGCAACTTATGTATTTAACGGAGCTTTACCATGTCAAGTGTTAAAGTAACTTATGTATTTAACGGAACTTTACCACGTCAAGTGTTAAAGCAACGTATGTATTTAACGGAACTTTACCATGCTAGTCATCACCAGCCACCGCCATCTCTTGGGCTACTATTTTACCAACGAATAGTGGGATTGACCGTCACATTATAACGCCCTCACAACTGAAAGGGCGAGCATGTTTGGTGGAACGAGGATTTGAACCCGCGACCCTCAGATTGCCAGTCGAGCTCCCTAACCACTTGGCCATGCCGGGCTACACAACCTTTGTGTGTCTTCATTCCTAGTTAGTGAATCTGCTTCCTTGCGCCAACCAGTGTCTTCGCAAAGCCTTCTTCAATACTTTATTTATGTAGCTGACGAATAACTCTGTTACTCTCTTCTACGATTATCCATCATTGAAACGCCTCCAGACTGTGTACTAAGTGTTGACAATTTTTTCAATCTTTTGTTTCATTTGACGCCAATGAGAAATTAGCTGTGCCAAAAAACCTTGGAACAAAAACAAAACAGTGAATACTGACTCACGTTATACTGTTACTTCTTATCCATTGAAAAGACGTAATAACTTGTTCTACATTTCTTTTCGTTGTCGACTATGGGAAAGTCAGATGTCTGCAGATATACTGGATTCACTTCAATCAACAACTGCGCCTCTGATCACTTTTTGGCTAATTAGCTAGACCATCACACAAAACATTCCTCTTTCTGTCTGCTTTTACTCTTTAGTTGTCTTTGTCACGAGAAGCTATGGTTTCTACAATTTCTAGGACAATGTAGCAGGAATTTGTAGCACTGATCTTATCATTAGTTTGTACCTCTTTATCTCATTTCTAACGGCGGTTTCTTTTTTTTCATTGTGTCACATTGCAAAATCTTGAGAAGAGCAGCACCCTTTTAGTTTTCAAACTTACCTCTTTTCCTACTTTTCCGATATTGAACGTCACAATACTGCACATCCCACCAGCCATGTTATCTTTAATTCAGTATTATCATCATTTTAACTGTCAATTTTCAACGAACTTTTACAAATTAAAATTATGTTCATACATTTTTGGCGCCATTTTTTTTAAAAAAGAAGACAAACAAACGCGTAATTTATCAAGCTCGTGTCTTCGCAGACTTAACCGTTCCTCAGTGGAACAGCGGTAAATCTATGGGCTTCCAACGCTAAAATCCGGGGTTCGATTTCCTGCGATGGACACAGGAGATAGTCCAATGTGGCTTTGCTCTAAAACAAACCGACTTGACCAAAGTAAATGAAACTAAACATTTCGACCCTCAGAAACGAAGACTGTAACATGTTATCTTATACTTCTTCTACGATTAGGTTTTCATTATCTCTAATTGGTACTAAAGTCGGGTCTCTTATAACACAGATAAGCTGTCATTGTTCCTTAGTACAAGCTAAAATGCATGACTTATGGAAAACTCAAAATTAAAACAACTTACAGTTTATCTGCATATTGTATCAAAAGCTGAATTAAAGTACTGGTTTTATACTATTATAAAATATACCTTATTTGTAGTGGTAAAATAGTTTTCAGATGCTGAATTTCGGCTTTAGAAAAATTTAAATCACTCTCTTATCTTACGATGTACATCTTATTTAAGTGATTTCTACTGTTACTTAAAACATATGCAGCCCCTCAATTATAAGAGAAGACAGAATCTGTGTGAAAGTACAATCACATAGTAATAGATGCCGTTTTCATGATTACTGCCTTCATTCTATGATCTTCGGAGTTTACAATAGAACGTGAAGCATTTCCTAGAAGTCTGGCATACTTCTTTTGTCACGCGACAGTCCATCTACTTTTTAACGTCTTTTCAAACATATCATTTATAATTTTGTACAAAGAAAGAAAGTCGCAATTGAATTGTTACATCTAACCACACCGCTTTTTAAATTGAAAAGGAAAGTTGAAAAAAAATAATGACATTTAATTAGAGCAGAATGTCTTCATGTTATCGACGATATCTTACAATAAAATTGACTTAAGAAAAATACCTTAAATGTGTCTAGTGTTAAAGCAACTGCTGTATGTAACTGAATTTTACCACCTCTAGTTGCCTTCCCTCTAGTCTTACACTGCTAAATTTGCGCTAGCTGTCCCTGATAGCCCTCGTGTAGCTTTGCGCGAAATTCAAAAACAAAAACAAACAAACAAACATTCGTTGAAAAAGGTTGCTGCTTATGTACATAAGAATAAGGGTGTAGATTTGGTGTATCTGGATTTTCAGAAAGCATTTGAC